ACGAGGGGGGGGGGGGGGTTAATAATTAATTTTATTAAAAGATAAGTCAAGTATACATAAACAAGATTGCTGTTTAAACATTAATACAAACTGTAAGTGCAGATATATACACATCACAATGCTGTCTAGTAACTTGTCAGCAGGATCTTCCTATGGCCCTGTCCTTGTCACTTTCTTGTGATTTTCCAATTATTCTACTATTACTAAAGTAATAACGTATAATAACTCCAGCTATATTTTAGAAGGACCTCAATAGTGTTTTATGAGAGTGCTCAGACCATAAAAAATGCTCATAGATGTATCCATTCTACATATCCACGATTTATTTAAAACACAATAGATACGATCGCTAGAGATGTGAAGGCTCGAGAAAGAAAGGGAAAAATTGGGTGTGGAAAATGCGTAAAATGCTCATAGATGTATCCATTCTACATCTCCATGGTTTATTTAAAACACAATAGATACGATAGCTAGAGATGTGAAGGCTCGGGAAAGAAAGGGAAAAATTGGGGTGGAAAATGCGTGGTGGGGGGGTTGTTGTTATTTTGTTTTTCTGAGACTCCCCCCTCCCATTTTTTTCCAATGGAAAAGTTGGAAATTTGGGGGAGTACTGGGGAAAAAACCTTCCTACGAAATAATTTATCTTTTATAATGGGTGAAATGCTCTTATAGACAAGGTCTGCATGCTGTAGACGTAAGCAGTTATTAAATAAAAGATGCATTTCTGCATCTGGCTCCATAAGGCAGCATGTAGGGGGTTTTGACCACTGTTCCCTCTAAGCTGAGTTAGTGTGAGCTAGCTCACAGTTTTTTAGCCTCCTGCTCACAGATTTTTGTCTTTGCTCAGGAAGGAGGGCTCCAGAGCAAACTAATTTATGCAGCAGCCAAATCACTTGCTCACAACTTTAATGCCAGGAGCTCACAAAGTAGAATTTTTGCTCACAATGCTCCACAGCTTAGAGGGAACATTGCTTTTGACCCGACTCTTCGCCTGTTGTTGACCTTTTCACCTCTCCCTCAAACCACTGTGACACACATACCTACAGATTGGGTACCAAGTAGCTTATTGCCTTACCTTGCTGAAGGGGGGGGGGGATCAGAAGGGGGTGGGCAGAAACTGCACGAAAGGGCTTTTCCGCACTCTCAACTTACTCCTGATTTTCTGGGGAGTCGATCCAGAAGCACTGAAATCAGTTTGGGCACGGCTCTTTCACATATCTGCCCCCTCTGTGCATTTGCACAGTTGTGGAGTCAGTTTATTTTCTTCTACACGGGCCTTCAGTAATGAGGATTTTTAAGTGAGGGTGCTGTCATTGTTGGTTGTGGCAGAGCACCCCTCTCCCTTTTTTTAATGAGGCACTAAAATAGCAGTATATCTCTGGAGCATTGTAACTCTAGGCTTAGCATGTTCTCTGAACTCCCTAGCTTCTATTTTTTTTTAAAGTAGGTCTTTAGCCTCTTCCCTCATAGAGATATAAAGGGAAAGGCATATCTCTGCAAGGAAAAGGGCTAGAAGCTGGGAATTCACAGAACCAGCTACGCCTATTGTTACAATGTTCCAGTGATATATCACTATTTTAGTGCCATTAAAAAAGAAAGGGGGGAGAAATAATTCATCTTTGGGATGGGGAGGAAAGGGAGTGATTTGAACATGGCTGTCCAATCATTGAACAATGGGCTGGAGGTGGGTGGGTGTAGGTGGGGCAAAGAAACCCAACAGAAACATTACATAAGGAAAAAGCCAACTCAAAATTGGTGTCCAGAAAAACATCAGGGTATAAGTGGTCTCAAAAGAACTGGGGGGGGGGGAACAAAAAAAATGAAGTGAAAAATGTGTGTGGAAATCGTGGAATAAACCAAAGCAGTATGGGAGCAGAACCAATGGAAAAATATTGCAGTTTTACATGCTGAGTAAGTTATAAGGTTAGGTTTGATAGGATGGCAAGAATTGCAGGTATTTCAATTCTTCCTGAAATTTTATTCCCCCCCCAAAAAAGATCCCATGTATGTAATGTATATAATAAAAGGAGGCTTCCGATTTTCTCTATGACAAATATCAGTATGATATAAAATTTTCTCTTACTCTGTGTTTACAACGAAAAACTCTTTTTCTATTATCTAAATCCCTTATTCACCAAATCCACAGGTCATCAAGTCGTTATTCTCTGTTTCATGCAAAAAGTGAATAGGGGTTTCCCATCAGCAATAAACAAATTAATTGTCTTCTCTCTAATCAATGAAGTAAGCTTGGCCATTGCTTCAATTTCCGACATCTTCTCCAGCCATTCCTCTGTTGTAGGCAATGTCGGATTCTTCCATTTTTTTTCATATAATAATCTCGCTGCCGTTGTGATATATAAGAACAAAGTTCCATTACTTCTTTCCAACTGTTTGTCCATTAATCCCGGATTCAATTGTATAATAGTCCTTAAAATCTGAATTAATAATTGTATTTGTATGCAGATTTATTTATTTTTTGCTTTCTTGCATGCCCACCACATATGGTAACATGTTCCTTCATGCTGTTCAGTTTTCCAGCATAAAGTACCTTTATAGATTTTGGCCAGTTTCTCCAGAGACATATACCAACAATACATCATCCTATAGAAGTTCTCTCTAAGACTAGAACTCAATGTAAATTTCAGCCCTTTCCCCCACATATTTTCCCATTGTTCCATTCGTATGCCATATCCAAAAATTACCCCATCTAGTCAAATACCCCATCTAGGCCCTCTCATTTTCTACTAACACTGGGTGGGTGCCAAAAAAACTGTTGGCTGGCATCTTAACACCCACAAGCACCACATTTGGGACCCCTGGCACAGGGAAACAGCATTAAAAGAGGCATTGACTCGTTTCACTGCCCAGTTAATTGGTCACTTATATTATGGCTACTGCTAAGCTAAACGCCTCATTGTATTTTGTGATCATTTGTTTACACACTGACTTCCCCTCCCTTTTTCATCCTTCTTTCTGATTGTGCTGACATGTAGGGCCGACTTATCCATTAGGCACAGTCAGGGGTCGTTTCATAGAAAAAGAGCTAGGGGAACTCATTAGCATAACTCATTAGCATATGCCACACCCCCTGACATCAGGGGTCCGGCGGTGGACCTGCAAGGCCGGCGGGAGTGCGAGGAAGCCCCGCCAAGGCCCTCCCTGGCCCCAGGCAGGCAGGGGTGGGGAGAGGCAGGGAGGAAGCAACTTACCCTCCCTCTTCTCCTGCCTCCTCCTGGCTGAATGAGGGCCAGAAGCGGGGTGGCTGGAAGCAGGGGGTGTGGCTTCGTCGTGTGCCCCGCCCCCCACCTCACCCGGGGGAACTGCATTCCCCCGCGATCCCCCCTGAAATGACCTCTGGGCACAGTGCCCAGGGCCCACAATACTTTTAAGGTAAAGGTAAAGGTTCCCTTGCTCAAAAGCCAGTCGAATCCGACGAGGCGCACGGAATGCTGTTCCCTTCCCACCAAAGTGGTACCTATTTATCTACTTGCAATTTCTTGCTTTCGAACTGCTAGGTTGGCAGGAGCTGGAACTAGAGACGGGAGCTCACTCTGTCATGCGGCACCCGGGTCTTGAACTGCTGAACTACCGATCTTCCACAGCCTTAATTTCTTTGAAAAATAGACAAAAAAAAAATGGACTTCTAGGGTCAAAGAAAATGCCCCCTCCATTTCAGGGGGGGGGAAATGAAATTTTAGGGCCCATGAAAATCTATCACAATTTTGCCTAAAACAAAAATAAATAAATAAATAAAATGTTGAAATATTAAAGTCATATCATTTTTTAAAAAATATTGATATTATTATGGTGGGAGGGGCCCACAAAGGCAAAAGTGTCTTGGGCCCACAGAAGCCCGTTGACGTGACATCATTATGCAGCCAAGTCAGAGTGACAACATAGTGTTACAATGTCATGCCATTCACTACATGATCCCTGATGGGGCACTATCACCCTGTCATTAACCTAGGCTAGTGTGAATGGGGGACAGGATCAGGAGGAGGAACCATACTGTACAGGATTTTTAAGTCAAATATTTACTCGTTTGGAAGACATCTGTACTGCACCAAAGTCAGGAGTTTTGACCCAGAAATTGAAAACAAAGAATATCTAGGTTATCACTACACATGAGGACATAATTTGAATCAGGGGTCATTTCCTGCGGGAGTGCACAGGAGCGGAGCTCTGGCAGTAAAGAGCCCAGGGGGCGGGCACATGCAACAAGCCCCGCCCCCTGCTTCCAGCAGCCCTCAGTCGGGCCACGAGGAGCAAGAAGCAGCTAGGTAAGTTGCAGAGGGCCCCCCCGGCCCACCTTCAGGTACAAGCTCTCCCTCCTCTGTGACGACAGATCTGTGTGTGTCCCCGCCACCCAAGAGCTAGCAATCCAAAACAGTCCAGTAGAGCCTAAGCGGTGGGTGTTGCCTTCTGACACACTTCTGGTGATGCCAGGGGGTGTGTCATATGCAAATAAGCTATGCTAATGTTATGCTAATGAGCTCCTGCACCTCTTTTTCTACAAAATGACCCCTGATTTGAATGAATAACTATCGGGGATGTGGGACAACTGAGCACACAGGCTGTTGAATGAAGAACAGCTTTTCAGTAATGTTGGCAGAATGGGTCAGCCTAACTGGTCATTGCTGGTAGCCTGGAGATCTACCCTACAATTAGATTTGAATCCAGTAGCACCTTAGGGACCAATCAGATTTTCAGAGTACAAACTTCCAAGAGTCAAAACTCCCTTCTCCAGGTACCTTTGTCTCTTGGAAGCTTTGACTCTTGGAACGTTGACTCTTAGGAGGGAGTTTTGACCCATGGAAGCCTTCCAGTTGGGAATCACCAAGG